CAAAGTTTATTTTCTATCATTCTCCTTCTGGATACTCTTCTTTGCTAACATATCAGCTTTATCATGAAGGAGTAATCCAATGTGTGGATGGATCCATAGCAATTGTACATAATTACTTTGTCCCTGACTTTGAGTATCTTACCTGCTTCTCCAGAGCAAGTGTAGAGTCATTATATAGTCAAGAGGCCTTGAAATGATGACATAGAACAGTAATAATGATTGAGATCAGCTCAGTGGTCATAGGTTAGCTATAGTGCCATTAAGATTGCAAACAATTCCATTTTGCTGTATAGATGCCACAGTTTTTGTTAATTTCTTATGCTAACACAACAATATTATTATCTTTCTTAACTAGGGGGTGGCAAAAGAGCAGATGCGCCCTGCCAGAAGACTCCGGTTTAGGTCCGTCTGTGTAGCCATAACTTTTGATAACTTATTAGTCCCAGCTAGGCGAGAAATTTTCTTCTTGAGCATTTGCTTACAAGTGATTTAAGGAAGTGATTACTAGCAATGATCTTCTTGGGAGGACTGCAGTATGTATTTAAATGAACACATCTTCCATGGAGGGGTGAAATGCTCGTTGTTTCCTAGAGTGATACAGTTTCATGCCAGGTTATAGCTAATGCAATTGCACACTTTCACCGATTCCATTTAGATCTCTGTTATTTCCTCTAGACACTTGTAAGATTCATTGTGATAGTGTCTGGATCATTTCCTAACATTAAAACCAAGTACATTTTTATCTCAACATTCTATCCACTGATACTAGAAACACCAAGCTCCTTCCTCATATTAAGAACCTTTATAGATTTGGACACCCAGGAATAATTTCTGAGAGTCTTCCATTTTGCAATAACTCCAAGGGTTGGAGAGAACTTTCTCTAGCCAATAATCAACATGGGAGCACATAATCAATTAACCCTTTTCAGGTTACGATGCACTAGTAACGGCTTACGCGCTCCAGGGTTTATTGACGTACTAAAATGCATAAAAAATTCTAGCACCTTCAAATTCTCACGGGAAAAGTCTGGTATGCCTTGATGTGATATAAATGGGTGTGTGGGGTCGGTGTGTGGTGGTAGAAAAAAAAATCTGGGTGCCCAGTGGTGCATTGTGGAACGTCATTTAAGTAGACCTTGTTCACCATGCCTCGCCGTAAGAAGCTCCTCTACTCCCCTCAGGGCGCATTGGGACTCTTTTGTTCGCCCATGAAGTTCAAATACAGATGGAAGTGCCAGTGAAGATGATTTTTTATTCAATGGTTTTGATGATGGTTTGACTGAAATTAATGACCATATTACAAGTAAATAGTGAGAAAACCAAGACGAACCCTCACCTCCACCTCTGGAGCTGGCTGTCTGGTTCACCTACCGTTGTACCTGAAACCAAAGAGGAAACTCCTTTATTCCCAAATTCAGGAACTCAGATGCGAGCATTTGGAGATGATAGTAGATAGTGAATATGAACTACAAGCTCTTGAAAACACATCCAGTAGCGATAGCGAAGTGGAATAATCTCCAGTGAAGCTTCAGTATATACGACGATATATGCGCTCTGGTAGTGTGCCATATGATGTTTCAAGAGGAAGGAGTACAACTTCGGGAGTACATCCCATGGCTGTACAACAATAGCAGAAGTGAAATGAAGATGATAGTTTTGGCAATTGGGATGGAAAATATGCATGGTGTTGATAGTGGTGGTGCCGTCCTGAGGCCACCCTTATTTGGGCCATGCTGCCACCCACGCTGCCACCCACACCACTTACTGCCTCAGCTGATCTACAACCAATGCCACCACCCCCCACCCACCCACCACACCAGCCTCCACAACCACAACTTCCACAACCGACAAACTCCAACAACCCAACCACCTTCAATGTCCAGTACCCACCAGCAAGACAGCACCTGGGATTGGCAGAAGCTGCAATTTTTTGTTCACAAATTCCCCACCAGTTTGATGAAAGCCAAATTTGAATGCAGCCATTCTCGTACACTGGGAACAATGCCATTTAACTGAAATTTTTTCGAGTTATTCTTTGAACGAACCCCTGATGGTAATTTATTGTCAGGAAAGCAAACACATGACTTCGTTTACACCATGGCAAACACAATACTTTCACCAAAATCAATCTACACCAGTGATGAGAACAACTGTGTCTGAGAGTATCTTTTCTTTGCCACAATATGCTTATGCCCATGTTGTATAAGCAAACTGTGAAATCATACAGGTCAACAGACTGCCTAACGATTGCAACCCCAGGTTTCAGAGGTATAATGCCATGAATCGATTTGTCTACTATTACGTAAGCTTCACTTCTCAGAACACCCAGCCTGACAGAATGACAGGTTATATAAAATAAGAATGTTGTTTGTGTAACTTAAAGAGAAATTCAATATTATTTTATCCCTTCAGGAAGCTTGTTATTGCGAGTCTTTGATCTGTTCAAAGGAAACTTTCAAGGCAATACATACCAATCAAGAGGAAATGCTTTGGTATAAAGTTGTGTTGTGCTTTTGATTGCTACAGTGGTCTTTGTATTGATATTATTGTGTACACCAGATAGTTATACATTGCAAAATACCAGGAAGTTATTGGCATTCTCTGTGCTGTGGTTAGAACAATGATGGAACCCAAACCTTGGTAAGGGCATATTATTATATACTGATAACTCATACACAAACCCCTCAGTGATTTTTGTGAGTGAATATGAGAGATGTGTGTGGCACAGTCATGCAAATCGTAAACAAATCCCAGGTTTGACACTGCACCATAGAGGTGAGGTGCAGGCATTTGCTGCCATTGACATCATGGCATTTCGGTGTAAGACATACGAATTGTCACACGTTGTCATCAGTTTCACCCTAACGAAATGACAAACTCAGCAGGGCATGGACAGCATAGAGACAGCAATGAACCCATTCTAAAACCTGCAGCTGTGATTGATTACACCCTCAATATGCACTCATTGGACAAATGTGACTGCAAATTGGTTTTGCAGATTGTGTTTCGCAAGAGTTATAATTGGTACATAAAACTCTTTTCCGTCTTCTGGACATTTCCAATGCTCAATGCTTATAAACATATAAGATAGGACCAGAAACAAACCACCATATTGAGAATTGCTTCGTCCTGCAATCAGATAAATATATTCAAGAACCAAGGAGCAACATCTGCTATAGAAGACCGCCCACTAAATATCAACAACTACCTCTCGTCTGCAGCATGATGATCACTTCCTAATAATAATGCTCTCCAGAAAAAGGCTCAGAAGAGGAGTTATGTGCCCCACAACAATTCAGAGACACTCGTTTTTATGTGTGAGGAGTTAAACACTACTGTGCATGAACACCATGTTTCAAAGAGTTCGACAGGCTGGGCAAGAACTTCTAGAAACAATCCCTCTGACTATATATTGTATATGAAATAAAGAAAAATAGTAATAAACATCATTTTATATTGTTGTGTTTTGTAAACAATTAAAAACAATACAGTGACCAGTGTTTGTACAGTTATTGTGTAGTAAATAAAGAGAAATAACTTACAAAAATAGTGTCTCATATTTGGTCTCACAGACCATAAAGTTACGTGAAAAAAGTAAATAAAAAAATAATAGAAAATAATACCAAAAAAAAAAAAAACTAAAACTGGGTGACTCACGGCGAGGTTCCCGGCGATGTACCGTATCCATGTCATTTTCTGTCAACTTCACGCCTCCATAACTCGGTAAGTATTGATGGTAAAAAAAATTTTGTTAGCCTAAGATTTAAAAAAAAAAAAAATCTTTTCATAATAAAAAATAATTTTTTTTTTTGAAAAATTTTGGACCCTGAGAACAAGTCTTGGAGAGCCCGTCACCCTGAAAGGCTTAAGGACCAAACATAGGCGAGTAAACATTTCTCATGATTCCTCACTTTGGCACCAATAGTTGGGTTTTAGTCAGCAACAGCCTTGAGAGTATTTAGCCTATCTGCATTTTTTATTTAGTTGTGGTATAGTGGATTTGATAAAGGGTACATCTACGCCAAGATTCTAAAGTTTAAAAACGTAGGCTAGCAATTTTCACCCTGCAAATTTGGTGGGGAATGTCATTTGCTGTTAATATCTTTGTTTCAGAGAAAGATATTAGAGCCTAGTTGATTACAATTTGCTTGAACTTCCATTAGGAATGGTGCTCATCATCTTAATCCCTGTAGTATGTAATCATGATGTCATCCAGCATAGCTTAAAGCTGTATGTTTAGGTGAGGCAGGTAGAGTATTTAGAGAGGCATTAATCAGAATATAAATAGCATGGACAAAAAACTCTCCCTGCGGTGTACCCAAAGACATTTCATTCGACTCGCCGCTTCAAAGCCTTGGTAGAGGGCAGAGGATACTCTATTTTATAGTATCTTATTATCCAGCAGAGTAAGCTACCACCAATATTCATTTTGGAGAGATTAAAGTCCCTTAAATTACACTCACTTGTAAGATGAAGAATGAAGGGAGACCTGATCGAAGTGTACTAGTGGAAGATGGGTATTAATAAAGAGGATATTAATAAGGTCTTGACGATCTCTCTCCAAGAGAGAACCCGCAGTAATGGATTCAAATTAGACAAGTTTAGATTTAGAATGGGTATAGAAAGTATTGGTTTGGAAATAGGGTAGTTGATGAGTGGAACAGTTTGCCTAGTAGGGTTATTGAGGCTAAGACCTTGGGTAATTTCCAATTTAGGTTGGATAAATACATGAACATAAGAACATAAGAATGTAGGAACACTGCAGAAGGCCTACTGGCCCATACGAGGCAGGTCCTTATCAAAACGACATCTACCTAAAGCTACTCAAGAAATAACTCCTGTACCCCTTGACACCAATCAAACCCAGCCCCTCCCACTCATATATTTGTCCAGTCTCTTCTTAAAGCTACCCAAGGTCCTAGCCTCTATCACCCCACTGGGAAGTATTTTTTTTTTTTTTTTTAATTTTTATTATCATTATATAACATTCTAAATTCTACTATAATCAACAGTCATCAAAATTCCAAATTTGTATTTTTAACATGAAGATTGAACCTGTCTAAATCAATGACAGATGTTTGACAGTCATGTGTGCATTCATTTTCAGGCTTCCTGAGTGCAAGTTCCTCCATATGTTCTCGGGCCTTAGAAGTTTTACCAATGCCAAGTCTTGGCTTGCCCTTGTTAAGGCCCTCAAGGAGAACACAAGCTTTACATACTGACTGGGAAGAAATGTGGCCACAACGTTCACATGTTGCTTGAGTTGGAAATTTAACTCCCTCACGCACAGAGAAGCACTCACCTGAATGGATAATATCAATGATGGAAGTTGGCCTAATCTTTTCCAAATCCTTCAGGAATGCTCTGGCATACCCACGATAAGTATTTGGTGAATAAATGCATTCAGTGGAGAAATAATCCAGCTTCTTAAAATATGCATACATAACAATCTCCTTCTCATATGTATACTTAAATGGCTTGGATCTTGGGATTGCACCTTCAGAACCAGTTACTATTGCAGTACACCGTTGAAGTCTGGCAATGTCACCTCGCAGAATATTCATTAAGACTGTCTCAGCAATATCATCAGCATTGTGTCCAGTCACAATTTTATCAACCTTCAGTAAACTTGCTCCTCGGTCCAATGCTTGTCTTCTAAACACACCACAAAATGTGCAATTACTTTTTCGGCCAATCTTCTTTACAATACGGTCCATTGTCCATCCATACAACTCCTCATAAGAGACTATCTTGAGAGGGATTTCATACTGTTGTTCATTTCGCTGAACTGTCTCCAAGCTATCATCCCGGTAACCTGTGATTCCTTCATCAACAGATTTGAGTGGGATTGCACATGAGTTAATAGAATTATCAAAGATTGTTCCTTGGGTACAATTGAAAATTGAGTTGGGCAAATATTCTGTTAATGGGATGAGTTGTGAAGGACCTGCCTAGTATGGGCTAACAGGCCTGCTGCAGTGCTCCTCCTTTCTTATGTTCTTAATAAAGTACTGAGAGTGTTGAACCAGTTAAGAACCAGAAATAATGGATTTAACCCTTAAACGGTCCAAACCTATATATACACTCGCACATCGAATATTTTGAAAAAAAAAATAAAAAAAAAACATTTTTTTGAGGTGTTTTAGAATAAAAAATTAGGGCCAGTACTTACAGAGATATGAGGCCTAGAAGTTGGCACTGGATGCTCACGTGACGGCAACATCTAGTCCTGCCGCTTGCAGAAGTGTTGCCGATATACCTTTTTTTTCTATTTTTCATATTATATATAATTTTTATGTTCTGATAATTATAATTTATAGTAGTTGTTTTCATTTTATAACCAATCTTTGTTCTGACACTAGTATTAGGTACTGAAATTGTCACAAACACATTGACAGATGGACATTTACACCTGCCCTGGCCATTTTCAATTGTCTTGGAATATATACAAAGTATTTATATATCCCAGCAATGTTTTGGATATGTGGAAGTATATAATAACAGAAGATTAATAGAAGGAGGAGTAGGAGAAGGAGAAGGAGAAGGAGAAGAAGGAGGAAGAGGAGGAGGAGGAGGAGGAGGAGGAGGAGATGAAGGAGAAGGAGGAGGAGGAGGAGTAAGAGGAGGGGAAAGGGAAGAAGGAGGAAGGGAAGGAGGAGGAGGAGGAAAGGGAGGAGGAGGAGGAGAGAGGAGGAAAAAGGAGGAGGAGAATGGAGGGGAAAAGGAGAAGGAGAAAGGAGAAGGGGAAAAAGGAGGGGGAGAAGGAGAAGAATAGGTAATAATAATAATAGGTAATAAGAAGTTGCCTTGAAGCATAAAAAACAAAGTCTGCCCCTGACAGTGACGTGATGAGATAACATCTGATAAGAGCTGACGTTTGATGGACATACTCGAGGGTGCAGGGATAAGAAAAGATTAGTGGTGACATTTGATGAGCATCGCCCTCACTTTGTTTTCGCTGGTACCCAAACATGTCTGTCTGTCTATTTGTCTGTAAAAATCCCTGATTTTCATTCTGCCGATTATAATGGACTTAGGGAACGCCTGTCAAATCTTGATTGGGGTTATCTAGCTAATGATTTTGTTGATGATGATCATACTTATGATTATGAAGGTATCTGCATTTATGATGTTTTTCTTAATTAATAATGTACACTGTGCTCAGAGTATATACATTCCCCAGAGAGAAATTAGGTCTGATAATAAGGATCACAAATGGGTTAACAGGAGTCTAAAGCATCTATTAGGGGAGAAAAGGGGAATTTATAGGCACATCAGAAGAGGAGAGGTTAACCTTACTGACCAATATGTTCAGCTTAAAAGAGAAGTGAAAAAGGGGATTAGAAAGCCTAAACATGACTATGAAACTAGAGTTGCTAATGAATCAAAGACCAATCTGAAAGGGTTCTTTCAGGTGTATAGGATGAAGGTGAAGAAAAAAGTAGGACCTCTGAAAATTGGAAATGGACAGCTGAGGGATAATGAACTGGAAATGTGTTCCTTATTTAATGATGTTTTTTTTGTCAGTTTTTACACAGGAAGACATAAATGAGATTCCAGAAATTAAGAGTTATTCAGTTCCTGATGAATTTAAATTAACTAATATTGCTGTCACAAGGGACATGGTTATCAAACAGATAGACAAACTGAAGCAAAATAAGTCCCCGGGACCCGATGAGTTGTTTTCCAGTGTATTTGAGGAATGCAAGATGTAGCTTAGTCAGCCATTAACAAGTGTTTAATGCGTTTATCCTTACCGGTGTTGTGCCAGAGTTGTTGAAGATGGCTAATGTGTTTCCTATATTCAAATCAGGGGATAAGTCCACTCCTTCAAATTACTGTCCAATAAGCCTGACATCTATAGTGGGCAAGTTATTAGAATCAATTATAGCTGGAATTATTAGAAGTGGTTAGGTTACGGGAAAGTGGGGCGGGAGGGAAGAGGAGCGATTGGTGGAATGATGATGTAAAGAGAGTAGTAAGGGAGAAAAAGTTAGCATATGAGAAGTTTTTACAAAGTAAAAGTGATGCAAGGAGGGAAGAGTATGTGGAGAAAAAGAGAGAGGTTAAGAGAGTTGTGAAGTAATGTAAAAAGAGAGCAAATGAGAGAGTGGGTGAGATGTTATCAACAAATTTTGTTGAAAATAAGAGAAAGTTTTGGAGTGAGATTAACAAGTTAAGGAAGCCTAGAGAACAAATGGATTTATCAGTTAAAAATAGGAGAGGAGAGTTATTAAATGGAGAGTTAGAGGTATTGGGAAGATGGAGGGAATATCTTGAGGAATTGTTAAATGTTGATGAGATAGGGAAGCTGTGATTTTACATATAGGGCAAGGAGGAATAACATCTTGTATGAGTGAGGAAGAGCCAGTTGTGAGTGTGGGGGAAGTTCGTGAGGCAGTAGGTAAAATGAAAGGGGGTAAGGCAGCCGGGATTGATGGGATAAAGATAGAAATGTTAAAAGCAGGTGGGGATATAGTTTTGGAGTGGTTGGTGCAATTATTTTAAAAGTATGGAAGAGGGTAAGGTACCTAGGGATTGGCAGAGAGCATGCATAGTTCCTTTGTATAAAGGCAAAGGGGACAAAAGAGAGTGCAAAAATTATAGGGGGATAAGTCTGTTGAGTATACCTGGTAAAGTGTATGGTAGAGTTATTATTGAAAGAATTAAGAGTAAGACGGAGAATAGGATAGCAGATGAACAAGGAGGCTTTAGGAAAGGTAGGGGGTGTGTAGACCAGGTGTTTACAGTGAAACATACAAGTGAACAGTATTTAGATAAGGCTAAAGAGGTCTTTGTGGCATTTATGGATTTGGAAAAGGCGTATGACAGTTTGGATAGGGGGGCAATGTGGCAGATGTTGCAGGTGTATGGTGTAGGAGGTAGGTTACTGAAAGCAATGAAGAGTTTTTACGAGGATAGTGAGGCTCAAGTTAGAGTATGTAGGAAAGAGGGAAATTATTTCCCAGTGAAAGTAGGCCTTACACAAGGATGTGTGATGTCACCGTGGTTGTTTAATATATTTATAGATGGGGTTGTAAGAGAAGTAAATGCGAGGATCTTGGCAAGAGGCGTGGAGTTAAAAGATAACTAATCACACATAAAGTGGGAGTTGTCACAGTTGCTCTTTGCTGATGACACTGTGCTCTTGGGAGATTCTGAAGAGAAGTTGCAGAGATTGGTGGATGAATTTGGTAGGGTGTGCAAAAGAAGAAAATTAAAAGTGAATACAGGAAAGAGTAAGGTTATGAGGATAACATAAAGATTAGGTGATGAAAGATTGGATATCAGATTGGAGGGAGAGAGTATGGAGGAGGTGAATGTATTCAGATATTTGGGGGTGGACGTGTCAGCGGATGGGTCTATGAAAGATGAGGTGAATCATAGAATTGATGAGGGGAAAAGGGTGAGTGGTGCACTTAGGAGTCTGTGGAGACTAAGAACTTTGTCCTTTTGGGGGCAAAGAGGGGGATGTATTAGAGTATAGTTTTACCAGCGCTCTTATATGGGTGTGAAGCATGGGTGATGAATGTTGCAGCGAGGAGAAGGCTGGAGGCAGTGGAGATGTCATGTCTGAGGGGGAATGTGTGGTGTGAATATAATGCAGAGAATTCGTAGTTTGGAAGTTAGAGGAGGTGCGGGGGTTACCAAAACTGTTGTCCAGAGGGCTGAGGAAGGGTTGTTGAGGTGGTTCGGACATGTATAGAGAATGGAGAGAAACAGAGTGACTTCAAGAGTGTATCAGTCTGTAGTGGAAGGAAGGCAGGGTAGGGGTCGTCCTAGGAAAGGTTGGAGGAGGGGGTAAAGGAGGTTTTGTGTGCGAGCGGCTTGGACTTCCAGCCGGCATGCGTGAGCGTGCTTAATGGGAGTGAATGGAGACAAATGGTTTTTATAATACTTGACGTGCTGTTGGAGTGTAAGCAAAGTAACATTTATGAAGGGGTTCAGGGAAACCGGCAGGCCGGACTTGAGTCCTGGAGATGGGAAGTACAGTGCCTGCACTCTGAAGGAGGGGTGTTAATGTTGCAGTTTAAAAACTGTAGTGTAAAGCACCCTTCTGTCAAGGCAGTGATGGAGTGAATGATGGTGAAAGTTTTTTTACTTTTTCGGGCCACCCTGCCTTGGTGGGAATCGGCCAGTGTGATAATAAATAATAAATAATAATATATTAGAAGTCACCTTAAAGAACATAATTTGATTAATGAATCTCAGCATGGGTTCACGAGAGGTCGTTCCTGCTTGACAAATTTACTCACGTTCCTGCGTGACATAATTTACTCACGTTCCTCAGTAGAACATTTGAGGCAGTGGACAGTGATAAAGAATATGATATTGTTTATTTGCATTTTAGTAAAAGCCTTCGGATAGAGTACCTCACAAGGAGATTAAGAAAAAAGTGGCAGCTCATGGTATAGGAGGGTAAAGTTCTAGGCTTGGTTAATAGAGGCATGGCTTACCAATAGAAAGCAGAGAGCTTCCATTAATGGGGTCAAATCTGAATGGGGATAGTCACTTGTGGCATTCCACGAGGATCAGTTTTAGGCCCTCTCTTGTTCATTAATTAACATTTATTGACTTGATGAAGGGATTGCGAATGACATGAGAAATTTGCTGATGATACAAAGATAGGCCGTATAATTCATCTGGAGGGGAGGATAGCAATGAACTCCAGGAGGATTTGGAAAAATAATGTCTTGGTCTGGAAAATGGCAGATAAGTCAATGTGGATAATTGTTAGGTCCTTGGTAAGAAAAATATCCCTTGAAGCTATAAAACAGGTTGAAGTTAGAGCTTATATACAGAATGTGAAAAAGACTTTGGGAGTCATGGTAAGCAGAAAATCTAAGCCAAGGAGCAGGGTGCTTTTGTGTGCACAAAAAAGGCTAAAGATTACTAGGATTTATCTCTAGAAGTATAAGTAACAGAAGTCCAAAAGTTATTTTTACATCTC